GCACATTTTTTTACCTGAAAAAATATGTGCATTTATTATTTTTTTTTCTAAAAGGTGAACTTATCCTTTAAAAACTAACTAATCTTTGAAAGTAATATTTTACTGAGAGTAATTGATGCTTGGAATAAACTTCAAGCAATGGTAATAAATCAGTCAACAGAAGATGGATTTAAACATGGTAGGGACGACAATAAAAATATAAACTAAAAAAAAAAAAAAATTAAGCAGACTCAGTGGTCCACTTGGTTCTTTTGTGCGGTCACCCTTCTAATAGTTAGTACAACCGTCTTAATGAGCATTGCTTCCAGAAGACTTTTGTAGGATTGAATAATTTCATTCTGCAAAAACCATGAGTTTTGAGAGATTTTCAAGGGCATATCTGATCTAAGGAATGAAATACCTTTATTCAAAATACTGTAGTTAAAGATGGGATAGTAGTCAGCCATGGTTTGCAAGTACCAGGCCAGTGACTCAAAGTACTAAAGTCAGAGGATCAGTACAGCTGCCAGGCAACCAGCATTTTCTTAATAGGTCAGGAGTGGCAGCATCTCAATTTCCCTCTGCACAGGTTTCCATTAGCGCCCAATCACTGTGCATTTTATCAATGTAAAGCACTGTGCTGCATTAAGATATACTGCTTTAAGACAGCCAGTTCATTTTGAATATGGTGGCAGTACACCTTAAGGCCCCTTTCACATGGGGTGGCTCAGTTAGGTGGATCCGCCTGCTCAGTGGGGGATCTGTCCACTGACCCCCACTGAGCAGGCAAATGACAGGCCTGTGTCCTCTGTGCTTGTAGAGAGCGGACACAGCCTGCTGTTCTCTATGTCAGACGGATGTAAATGGACTGCCTGTCCGTTTACATCTGTCATCCGATCCGCTAGACAGATGGTCTGATTTTGGTGGACCAGATTGGATGCAGGCAGGTGTAAACAGACATGACCATTTACATTCGCCTCCTCATAGAGAACAATGTGTCATCCGATTGGGTCCACCTGAAAAATGGACAGGCAGGCCCGTTTGGTCCGCTCGTGTGAAAGAATCCTTCGGCACAGAATAATTAAACATGACTTTTATCAGAGGGCCCTGCAATACACAACATATACTACATTGTGGGTGCTGTGGTTGCTACTGTAACAAGAAAATAATGGAATGGGACATGTTGATTACCAAATGTGGACTTAAATTAATTACAAAGTCTGTCCATCCAACTTTTGTTCTGTAATTTTATTTACTCAAAGGCTTTTCATGCTAAGAATGCAGATTTTATTGCAGGCAATGGATGCGTTTTCTAGATAGACAAGTGTAATAAACACTGAATTATATATTACAGACTGACTCATTACCCATAGGCATGAGATGTGCAGGGAATATCTATTGCGACAGCAAAGAGACTGCTGTTTAGTGGATATGCTAAAGTACTTGGCTAGGATTATACACACAGCAATTAAACTGGGGGTGTTAACAGAGAATTCAAATTGCAATAAGTAATTCTGCTTTTTTTCCCCCCTCTAGAAATGGTTCAAAAATCGATTAGCTAAATGGAAAAGATCGGAGGGTTTACCATCAGAATGTGGCTCAGTCATGGACTAAGGAGGAACTGTGAATGAACATTTTATACATCATGTTTATCTCAATTATTTTTTTTCTACAGAGTTCAAAATCATTTGAGAGAAAAATATAATAATATACGTACGGTTTGTGCATTAGACTTATCTATGTTGTATATACAAATGTAATATATTTGAAATGTCCACTCTTGAATATGATGTTTTATTTGAAAAACATATTTATATAACTAAATCTATATTTAACCAGTAATGTAATCTAAACTGGAAATAGATCTATTCAGATCCTAAACATATACAGTATGTACATGTAAAGCAGAAATAAAAGCAACATAGAACGGCTAAATATTATTTACACAAATATATGTAAAAATAATTGCATTTATTTTGCATGGAAATATTTAATAAAAAACAATAACAAAGACTTTGTAGAAATGTATTTCTTGTGGTATTACATCTTCATAGGAGGAGGTTCATACATAGAAAGATTAAGCTGAAGCAACTAGGACAGGTGAAGTGACCTCTGGAACCATGTGAGTATCAGAATCCATAACCCTGGATGATGGAAGATTTTAATCGTGATTAAGATTTGTCATAAGATAAATGCAGGGCTGCCATCACCTACCTCCATCTGAAAATACGTTACCTGGTTAAATTAACCCACAAGTATCCATATAAGGAAAAGTCAGAAGTCTTGAAATTACACTCAGCCTGGGTTCACACTGATGTGGTGCGGAATTCGCAGGCATTTTCTGTGCGAATTCCACACCGCATCAGAATTGCACCCTGTACATGCAAACCGCTGCGGGTGTGTATGTTAACAACACCCCGAAAGTGGTCTGCAAAACACGGTGCGATGTGCAGAATCGGATCGCATAGGTGTGACTACCTATGCGATCCAATTCTAGTGCGGACCAAAAAAGGGTCCTGCATGTTTTTGGTGCAGGTGCAGTACAAATAGGGCCATATAAAATGTATGGCTTCAATCACACCGCACACAAATCTGTGATTTGTACAGGAATGCGGTGCGGTTCCTGTCCGAATGATATGCGATATACTGCACCGCATATATGTGAACCCAGGCTAAAGGGGAGATTTACTAAAACTGAACGCAGAATCTAGTGCAGCTGTGCATGATAGCCAATCAACTTCTAACTTCAGCTTGGTCAATTAAGCTTTGATGGAAAAAAAAAAAAAAAAAAACAAAAAAACCTGGAAGCTGGTTGGTTTCTATGCAGAGCTGCACCAGATTTTGCACTCTCCGGTTTTAGTAAACAACCCACTAAATCTCAGCCCAATCCCTTTTTTGTGATCCGACATTCTGTTAGAGGGCAGCTGAACTTGTTCTCCATGGTCTCACTGTAAGTAGGAACATAGCCACCCTCTCTTGGTTCCTCCTGAGATGGACTATGGGATTTGCAATGTGCATAGAGAACTGTATATGACCACAACAAATGTGAACTGCTTGTTCCAAACAATAGCGCACATGTATGAATAATTTTTGGAAATAAGGACATTTGTACTTAAAGTGGAACTGCACAGTTTCAATCAGCATTGACTATTTTGAGTCCTTATGCTGCTAACATTATTAAATAGATAGGAAAGTACATCATATTTACTTGTTTTAATTTTTTTTTTTTTTTTTTTTTTTTTTTACTTTTCTTCAGTTACTTCCTGGTTTCTATGCCTATGCAAATGAGCTCATACATCCCAGGAGTCTACAGGAGGGGTTTTTCAGCTAAGAAGAGCCTCCTGAATGCATGCCTGAGCTAAGGGCAGATAGATTCCAGGAAGTAAATGCTACATGAAGCATCTGCGCTTACTCAAGATGGCCAGGACCAGAAATGCTAGCGGGTATGTGATTTCCCATCAAAATAAAGCATGAAGACATGGGTGGAGGGGAGAGTTTGCTTTGAAGATTAAAAATGAATTAAATAGTGCTTTAGGTTTGTGGTGCTCAGATACAGTGTAGTTCCACTTTAACTTTAGCCAAACAACAATGATTTCAATGCCTACAAGACACAGTAAAGACATAGCAGCAGGCCAGTGGACCCACAAAGAACAGCAGGGGACCAAGTATCTGACACACTTGAAGTGTTTTGGTCCCAGTAGCTCTTCAAGAGAGTGAAGATACAAATCGCCAAAACACTTGGCAGGTAGGCAATCCCTTTTTTACATGAAGCTCCTTTTAATTCTTTATATGCTGCAAAACAGTCACTTCGAAGCCTTATTCACATGGGCATACTGCATCATATGCCCGTGCAAGGGCTGTGTTTATCCACACAGGGATGCACAGTTGTTGTGTGTGTCCCTGTGCAGGCAGTCCCATATTCATTTTACTTGGGACGCAGTGGCTGCATAGACACAACCCTGCTCCCAATTTGACAGCCGTGTGGGTGCTTGAGCCTGAACGCAGACAGCGTAGGCAGGAACCATTTACAAAAAATGTTGCAGACGTTTAACAAACCAACAGAACTCTGGAATTCACAAACCATTTTCTATTTATTCAGCACATTTAAAATTGGACAATATATATTTTTTTTAATCAGTTTCAATAGAAAAATATGTATGAAGTGAAGAGGAATACAGTAAACCAAACATATCAAAAGTGTTCGAACGTCAGTAGTATTCAAACCAGTCCATCAGATACTTCCCCTTTTCTGTAATCAATAGCCTAGGTTCACACTAGTGCTGCTGTATAATAATGCGTTTTTCAGTATGTTTATGTTACATGTTTTTGATGTGTTTTCATGCTTCATTTTGTTTTGTAGGAGGAGACTGGTTATATTAAACACAAAAGCCTGTCAAAAACGCACCCAAAAAGTGCACTTTGCTGTAGCAAGATAAGAAACTACACCTGTACAAAAATTGCACTGCACCACGTTGCAATGAAGTGAATGGGCACCATAGAGTAGAACATGATTTCCATTGTCATGCATTGCAGTGAGATGGCAGACTCACTAGTGTGAATGGGGCCTTAGAAAAAAAAAACAAAAACAAAAATTCACTGTATCCTTTTAAGATCTATTTGATACAAAAAAGGCCAAGCATATCAAATAATATGTATTATGCTACAGTTATGTTGACCTTCTCCTTGACAGATGCCAATAAATAAATCCTGAACATCATAGCTCAGTTCCGGCAAATATTGTATTTTAATTCCTTGGCTTAAAAGAATTAAAAAAAAAAATATTGAAATAGCCATGTTTTCTTTTTTTTCAATTAAATATTCATTGTGTAGCCAATGATCACAACTTTCTAAAGGGCAAGTTGCAAACGTAATAAATGTGACCTTTAAAATATATATTACTAAGACAGAATGTAAAGTATAATGTAAGAACTATTTCTAGAACACAGTAAAATCACAAAGTACTCTGCATTACTGCAGCATGTACTCTGCATTACTTTGGCATGTGCTTGTAACAAGTGCAATTATGATCTTTTAGCAGAACTTTCAGAAAGAAGCTGTGCAAGAAACTCCTTAGCATCTAGAATCCCTGAAGAAACCTCAGACTCATCTTTTGTCGCATAAGTCCCAATTAAAAAGAGCTTCCTGTTTTCACAAATCTCAGACAACCCAAGAGCCTCGTGAATTTCAGTGATGTGGTATGCATGTTTTAGGTCCTATAACAAAAATGAAAGAATAGATTATTAATTCCGATTGACACCAACAAACAAAATTACAGGATTGGGAAGGGGGCACGGCAACAAAAACGTCTTTGCTGTACATAATACACTATATTGCCAAAAGTATTGGGACACCCCTTCAAATCATTGGATTCAGGTGGTCCAATCACCTCCATGGCCACAGTTGTATAAAATTCAAGCACCTAGGCATGCAGACTGCTTCTACAAACATTTGTAAAAGAATGGATCGCTCTCAGGAGCTCAGTAAATTCAAGTGTCATCCCGTAATAGGTTGTCACCTGTGCAATAAGTCCATCTGTGAAATTTCCTTGCTACTAAATATTCCACGGTCAACTATTAGTGGTATTATAACAAAGTGGAAGCAACTGGGAACAACAGCAACTCAGCCACGAAGTAATACACCATGTAAAATAGCAGGGCAGGGTCAGCGCATGCTGAACCGCACAGTGCACAGAAGTCGCCAACTCTCTGCAGAGTCAATAGTTAAAGACCTCCAAACTTGGTGTGACCTTCAGATTAGCACAACAGTGTGTAGAGAGCTTCATGGAATGAGTTTCCATGGCCGAGCAGCTGCATTCAAGCCTTCCATCACCAAGTACAATGCAAAGCATCAGATGCAGTAATGTAAAGAACGCTGCCACTGGACTTTAGAGCAGTGTAGATGTGTTCTCTGGAGTGACCAATCATGTTTTTCTGTCTGGTAATCCAATGGACGTGTCTGGGTTTGGTGGTTGCCAGGAAAAACGGTACTTGTCTGACTGCATTGTGCTAAGTGTAAAGTTTGGTGGAGAGGGGGGACTATGGTGTGGGGTTGTTTTTCAAGGGCTGGGCTTGGCCCCTTTGTTCCAGTGATGGGAACCAAGACATTTTGGACAATTTCATGCTCCCAACTTTGTGGGAACAGTTTGAGGATGGCCCTTTCCTGTTCCAACATGACTACACGAGTTTGGGGTGAAGGAACTTGACTGGCCTGCACAGAGTCCTGACCTCAACCCAATAGAACACCTTTGGGATGAATTATAATGTAGACTGCGAGCCAGGCCTTCTTGACCGACTTCTGTGCCTGACCTCACAAATGAGCTTCTGGAAGAATGGTCAAACATTCCCATAGACACACGCCTAAACCTTGTGAACAGCCTTCCCAGAAGAGTTGAAGCTGTTATAGTTGCAAAGGGTGGGTCAACTCAATATTGAACCCTACAGACTAAGACTGCGATGTCATTAAAATTAATGTGCGTGTAGAGGCAGGCGTCCCAATACTTTTGGCAATATAGTGTATGTTGTTTAAATATTACAACCCTTTTTTTAATCTTGGATTGATTGGTAATATGTTAAATGGTTTAAGGGTCACCATACAATTTACAATACATTTTTCATTCTGATAACTAAACAGGAAGTAAAGAGAATCACTCCAATAGGGATACAGACAACAATAAAATCTTGACAGAGGTTCTATCCCTTCTCTACTTTTCCAAAAATATGTAAAATGCTGGATACTACATGCACAGTTTATGGCACATGCTTTAATGTATTTATTACAGGAAATAAAGTTAATTCTACTTCAAATAACCCCATACAATGAACAATGCTGAATTCTTAGTAAATGTGCAGTAACCTGGGAGTACACTAGTTTGGGGACGTGAACACAAACAAATCTTTTCCAGAAAAGGAAGGGAGGAAGGTAGCAACCACAACTCAAAGAAGGCCAGTACCCTCTGTCACAAAGCTAACAGAGACAAAGCAAGGCCTCTGGCTGGTGGCTATCTGTAACACTGTCTGGTTGCCAGCCACCTGACATTCAGGACTAGACACTGGCTGGGAGCTCTACAGAGACTTCAAAAGATGAATTGATCCCAAACAACTTTCCATCTTTTACTGACCTTCTATTTACCCTTAGGCGTCTACTGAGCTCTTTTTAAACCCAAGACATTTTATTCACCCTTTGGATAATACCATTGTCTCCTGGGGGTCAATATTGACCACTTTGGGAAACCCTAGTATATACGAATATTGTATTGATTAGTAAAAAATGGGTTTGAAAGACTATGGGTTGTAAGAAATGAAATACAATAAACCCAATAATAAATTAAAATTTAATCATCATTTGGAAAACATATTTTCTGGTGGAAACATTAGGAATAGCAAGTTTCCCTTATTACAAGTACCTGCCCTATGCCTGTATAGTAGAAGTTTGTAATGTAGTGGAGTGCTATTAACACTTTTAACACTTTGCAATTGGGAATTGGGCCCATAAATCCTAAGAGTGTCATATATGAGTCTACAACTAAGCCATTCTTTCACAGCAAGAGAAGGAAAACAAATTAATTGGTCGCATAAGAAGATTTGAAAAGATACTTTTACCTAAATTAGCATCCTGATTAATTGTTTTTTTGTTTTGTTTTACAACCACTCCCATCCCCTTCAAAAAGAAGAAAAAAAAAAAAAAAACTTCGGGTAGCATCTAGTTATATATTCTCCATCATGGTACACCACTTTTGCATTTTAAATTACTTATTACAGGTACTTATATAGCACCATCAATTTATGCAGCAGTACACACACACACACACACACACACACACACACACACACACACTTAGTACATTCACACCAGTCCTTGTCCTGAAGGAGCTTACAGTCCCTAACTCACATTCATACATACACATACTAGAGCCAATTACCCTATCACCATGTCTTTGGAGTGTGGGAGGAAGCTGGAGTACCCAGAGGAAACCCACATAGACACAGGGAGAACATGCAGGCATGGTTGAAATTTGAACCAACATAGGGGCAGCACAATGGCTAAATGGTTAGCACTTCCGCCTGGCAGTACTAGGATAGTTCGTTCGAATCCCAACCACGGCACCACCTACCTGGAGTTTGCATTTTCTCCCTGTGCGGGTTTTCCACCGGGTACTATGGTTTCCTCCCACATTCCAAAGACATGCTGGTAGGTTAATTGGATCCTGTCTAAATTGGCCCTAGTATGTGTATGTATGAATGTAAGTTAGGGACCTTAGATTGTATGCCCCTTACAATATATATGTGATGTTGCTGCATAAATTTATGGCACTATATAAGTACCTGTAACAATATAATAATGATTCTAGTGCTTCTAACCATGTAGCCACTGTGCTGCCTAAAGGCATCCATTTAATCACTTCAGCTGCTACTCATTGTGAATCAATAGTCTGCTTACATTCAGACATGAACGCTAACTCTAAATTTTAATTCCAGGTGTTTTTTTTTCTTTTTAACATAGTTACATAGGTCAAGCTCTGACAAATACAGTATAAGTATGAATATTCCATATCTGAACAAAACACACAACAATTGAACCAAGGCACTAGGCCTGTGTGACCAATGTTCAATGTATTCCCAACAGTCCTGCTGCTAGAGAATTCCACTTGAGGACAGGAGAAACCAATACAGACAACCAGTCCATTTGTAACGCAGTTCCGGGTCTATTGATGACACACTTCTGGACTGACCATGCAGCTCTAGTGTCTCTGTTGGCTTGTTTGCAGCCATATCCATCCCTGCTCATGATTGTTATACCCGCTTGTCAGGTTACACACAGCAGTGCTCTCCATTCACAGTCCCACCGTGGTTAGAGATGCTGCTCGCCTACTGCACACCGTGTAAACCACAGTAAGCACTAATTTATACTGTCACTAGTGTGGAGTTTTCATCTTATTAACTATGGACTTTCATTCAGTTTGCTTTGACTAAATAAAGTGTCTATTTGGACTTATTTATGATATTGGACATTTGGTCATGATCTCATCCTCACAACAGTGTATTCATGGCTCAGGGACGCAGATGAGCATCTTATGTGTTATTGGATTAGTCTACATTTGGCCAGCACACTCAAGCAACTGATTCACCTCGACCCTGCCACCGTTATTTACCATACCCTCACTGTTCTTGCACTGGGATTCATGTGTTGTATATTTCATATATGGTCAATCCAGGTGGAAGAGGAGAAGCAGCTACTTTCTGAATGGACTATTCTCTGATTGGACGAGGTGGAGAGGCTGGGCAATGACAGCACAATCACCACCTTGTCCAATCAGAGAATGCCTTTTATTCATCTAGAACGACACATGGCATTCTCTAGATGGTGCCCATGCCAAATGGGCAACTCCTTAGGGGTACTATGCAGCAGGCAACTGCTAAACATGGGATCTGGAAGGAAGCAAGTGGTGGCTACTACAGCCATTCGCAGCTTCCACAGGAACTGGCTGGGTGTGGAATATGTATACTTACATTGGTCAAAGCTGCACCAAATGTAACTATGAAGAAAAAAGCATACCTGGAATTCAGCATTAAACAAGCAATCTATCCAGCACTCCATGCTCTTGGGTATAATCTATATTTAAAAGGTTCCCTAAGATTTGAAAATTATTTCAGGGTTTCCTCCATGGTAAAAAGTTTGAGAAAGCATACTCATTTGGTTTAGGGTTCTCCAAAACCCACTCTCTCTGCACCACCATACTGGCAGTGTACTCTCCCGTGAGCTGGTTCTAGTGTGAACAAAGAAAGTGACTTCAGCTAATTCTAAACATAGGTGAATAAGAACATGGAGACCAAAAGAGCATTATTATTTTTCCTTAAAGTGGAACTAACCCCTCCTTATTGTTCCAGCCAAGGAAGCGGCCATCTCAGCCTTTGTTTGATCTGCAACTGACCTGGTGCTGCACATATGATCAGTTATGACTCCAGTCATTTGGTGGTTTTATAGTCTGATTGAGAGCACAAGCAAATCTGACATTTAGCACTCCCAGCATGATGGGAATGTAACTTGCTTTTGAAACTGTTAAATCAATAGGTTTCGTCCACTTTAACATAAACATTTTAAGTTAAAAGGGTGTTTAAAATTTTTGCATCTCTACTGTGCTTTATATACTAAGAAGGTTAAGCAGTGTCAGCTTGTCTAAATACCACAGAAATAAAAGCATATTAATAAACAAGGGTCTGGGGTTTGATGCATCCAAAACAGAATTTAATATCTTAAAATCAGAACAAAACTAATGGTAAATAATCTCAAGCTTTAGGTTACAACTATGTTATGAAGATCGAGCTAATGCTTTGTTGATCTAGCTATGATTTACTGCAAATAAAGAAAAAATTTGAAGAAAACAACTTCACCATACCTGTTTATTAGCAAGAACTATTAATGGAATTAATGCATCTTGTTGAATCAGCTGATGCAGGTGTCTTTTAGCAAGTGGAAGGCGACCATGATCTGCAGAATCCACAACAAAAATGACAGCAAATGCTCTAGAGAGGTACATTTTCCAGTAGGGACGTAGATGTTCACTTCCGCCAACTGTTGGTGAAATAGCAACATTACTCAGTGAAAGTGAACTACAGTTTTCTGAACCTCATTACCTAGGAAGGATGTAGTTAATATGAATAAAACTTGCTAAAATAGTTAATATTACTCATACTAAAAAAAATGGGTGATCTATGATATAAATTCTCCATAGTGTTCTGGTCCTGGCATTCTATAACACAGTGGAGTACTGAACAGGATACAGTAATCAACTGTACTGATACAATCCTTAACCACCTCCCGTCCGGCTGTTGTATAGAAATGGCTGGACGGTGGCAGCACCGCAGTCCGGTGCCCGCTGTGTCCTCCGGACACAGTGGAACACCGATCGTTGTACGGGACCTCTGTGCGAGGTCCCGATCATGTGATCGCTGATTGGCCAATCAGTGATCACATGCAGAGTAGTAAGCAAGTAAGACATCATTGCTTACTACGTGTGAAATCTGTGAATGATCACAGAGGTTACATGGTACAAGGCCATTCACAACAGCCTTGTACCATGTGACAAGCTGTGACCAAATCACAGCTCACACAGTAGTTCTCAATGGCTGCAAGAATGCAGCCAGAGAGGAGAAATGATTGCTTTTACACCCATAAAGGCTGTAAAAGCAATCAGTGTAAAAAACAAAACAAATCATCACCCCCCACAAGTAGTACAGTGTCACCATGGTGAGACTGTACTGCTAGGTTGACAGTATGTAAAAAAAAATAAAATAAAATTGTAAAAAAATTAAAAATTAAAATTTTTGGTTATAAACTAATTTGGGGTATTTTTTTCCCCCACAAAGTTTATTAAGAAAACACAGAGCATACAAATTGTGCAAGGAGATACAATGTGCCAATGAAAAATGCAATAGAAAACAAATGACAGATGTCAAACAATAAGAAATACTAAGGTAAACAGACTGAGAAAATGATCCCATGTCGCACATATTGTTAATAAAGTTCGACTAAGAAAAAGAACATCTGTTCACAGCAAGAATAAAGGCACACACTAACCATAACAAGGCGTAAGAATTCCACAAGACTGGCAGGGTCATTAGTTTGCACCCCCATATGTCTTTCGTCATAGAATAGCAGGATGGGGGGGCAGAGGATATGAGTAGAGGTTCTGGACATCTTGTAAAGGAAAGAGGGTGCAAAGGTATACGGAGCTCGGTACTATCCAATAGGTAGAACAGAGGTAACTCTTAGAGGTTACCAATGTGTGGGGAGATGTCTTCGTGAATTGGAAGAGGCGCATGTACAGGTGTAGTATGGGTATGGGATTAGGTCGCCTATGGGCAGGGGAATGAGTGCGTATGTGAGAAAAGAAAAGTAAGACAAGGAAAATAGATAGGAGGAAATGTGAGGTATAGGGGATGATGAGGAAGGAGTTAGGGGGGGTAAGGAAGGTTGGGGGATGGAGAGCCAGAGAGAGGGAAGGGGAGGAAGGGAGAAGAAGAAGGAGAAAGAAGGAGAAAAAAGGAGAAAGAAGAAAAAAAAAAAAAAAAAAGGGGGGGGGGGGGGCGGCGCGGTGTGGATGGGCATATTACATGTGTGGAAACTCCAAGGACAGGGCTGATGTACTGAGCCCCGAAGGGTGTATAAGCATGAGTCAGACAATCGGGTGCCAGGAAAAGGGAGGTGTCTCGCTCCGACCAGTGTAGGGGTTAGGAAAAAAAGTTACTATCGACAGCCTAGAAAAGGTTGAGGGGTCAATGTAATGAAGAAACAAAATGTAAATACAGGTTAGGCTCGAAGTCAAGTAAAAAGACCCATGAGGGAATGGTATTCGGAGGTTGTTCGGAAGTGAGTCCAGCAAGACCAGGTATGGGAAACTTTAGTTGGGTTATCTTTGGAGGAAGCAATCAGCTCCTCCATCTCCCTGATTCTTCCTAAACATGTGAGCCAATCTCGTATTGAAGGGGGGTGGGTAGATCCCCATAAAACAGGTAGAGAGAGTCTAGCCGCATTAAGCATATGCATTGCTAGTGATTTGAAATATAGACGTTTGGGGAGCGGGGTATGGTGGAGGAGAAATTGGGCCAGGGAGAAATCAAGAGATAAAGTGGAGACTGACGAGGTTACACGGTGTACCTCCTGCCAGAAGGGCAGGACAATAGGGCAGGACCACCAAATATGGAGAAGGGACCTGTCAGGTGCTCCACATCTCCAACAGTTGGTGGGCCGAGAAGGGTTAAAACGATGAATTCTAGAAGGGGTAATATACCAGCGGGAAGCCAGTTTATATCCGTTTTCTTGTGTTGATACATTCAGCGAACATTTGTGGGAGTATGTAAAAATTTGGTCACAATCCGAGGAAGAAAAATCTATATCCAAGTCTCTCCTCCAAGCTTAGCAAGCGGGGAGTGAGTTAGGATTCCTGTCGCCAACTAGAAGGAGGTATGTTAATGAGATTAGGTGCCTCTGGGGTTCAGCCTTAGAACAAATTAATTCAAAGGGGGTGAGAGTGCAGGGGATAGAAGAAAATGCCTAATTTGAAAGTAAGCCCAAAAGGGGAAGGCATAGTCCCTCATGGTGCTAGCCAAAGAAGAGCAGGATTTCAGTTGGCCTTTGTGAAAAAAAGTTTTCCGCTCTCACCTGACTATGTGGCCAATGTTCGGACAGAAAGGCCTTGTGCATGCCCAGAGGAAAGTCTGGGTATAAGCGGAGGGAGGTTAGTGGGTTAGGTGTGTCTAAGAATGGAGGCCGACTTGCAGGCCAAGCAGAAGATTCTCAGGGTAGGTCCAATTAGTGGATGTATGAGGATTGTGTTTTGTCAAGAGCCACGGGATCGATGCTATGGGAGAAGAGGAGAAGGAGTATTCTAGTTGCACCCAAGCTTTGTTGGTTGAATATTCCAATCAATGATTCTGGAAAGATGACAAGCCCAGTGATATTGTCGTAGGTCTGGGAGCCCTCCTTTGGATTTGGGGAGTACCAGTTGGGAGAAAGATATGCGCGGGGGCTTGTGGTTCCAAAGGAAGAGTGAACACATTCTTCTACACAAAGCGAAGAAGGTGGGTGGCAATTGGATAGGTAAGGTTTGGAATAGATAGAGGAGGCGGGGGAAAAAGTTCATTTTTAGCATAGCAGCCCTCCCAAAAAGCATGGGCGGTTGCACTTAGTTAGATCTTCCTGAATGGATCTAAGGGCTGGAATAAAGTTTTTGGCATAAAGGTCAGAAAGGTTACGCGTGAGCTGTATTCCCAGATAAGTGAGGGTCTCACTTTCCCATCGAAACGGGAACTGTGACTGGCAAAATGAGACTAGGTCACAAGGAAGGGTGATATTAAGGGCGTATGACTTATAATATTTTTTATTTTTATTTACTAAAAAGATAAAACGGAATAAATTTTGGCCAAGATTTATGATGAAATATTATTTATTTGCAAAATTTTATAAGAAAAACACTTTTTTTCTAAATTTTTGGCCATTTTCATTTACATAGCAAAAAAATAAAAATCCCAGTGGTGAATAAATACCACCAAAATAAAGCTTTATCTGTCTCAAAAAAATGCTAAAAAATTCATATGGGTACAGTGTTGCATGACTGCGCAATTGTCATTCAAAGTGTGATAGCGCTGAAAGCTGAAAATTGGCCAGGACAGGAAGGGGGTGAAAGTGCCTGGACTGGAAGTGGTTAAAGTGAAACTAAAGTGTCTAATAAAGCACTGAGCAAGCAGGCTCTTTATTGCACAAAATGACATGCTAGGTATATTTTGCAATTAAAGAAATGTATATGTCTGTTTACAATGTTCTTTAGAATGCACATAGAGCTGCTCATGTGCAGTGTACATTCTTGGCACACCTTGGTGGCGGAAGGAACAAACTCCCATGCGCCAGTGCAGGAGCTACATTATCAACTGCCATGCAATCAAACACCCAAAGATCCAGCACCCAGGAGTAGCTGAGAAGACAATGTTAGCAAGGGGAGGTGAGTATTTGCAAATTTTATTTCTGCTTTAAGAGTTCTGCTTGATTAGAAGAAGGCAGTAGATCTCCTGAAAGCTTACCATGAGAAAGGTCTGTTTTCAGCTCAATGGGGCAAAGTATGGGGAAATGCATGCAGGTTAACATGTTTATATGGGTATATCAACTTGTAATGTTTATCTTCATAGGAGCAGTGACAGTGTATTTTAATGGTAAGAAAAATTAATATGAATAATTGCTTTTATGATAGCGCACAAATAAAAAAACAAAACAACTTACTTTCCAAAAATTCCATTTTAGAGGTTCCATTGTGGACACATAATGCATTAACACCTGCCGTAGGTGTTGTGACAAATTTTCCTTTATTAGCTGCTATGGAATTGAGGACACTTGTTTTTCCAGATCCATCAAGTCCTAGTACCACAACTTGTTTTCGCAATGAAGCTTTCACCTATTAAGGATTAAGAAGGGGAAAAAAAAAGAAGTGTTACTGTTATTTTTTTTTTAACTTACTACTGCAACTATATTTGGCAAAGTCTATATTTCATACTGGGGACCATTGATCAGTGATTACTTACTGAAAGAAAAAGCTGTTAAAATTAAGATTTTAAAAAAGTGACCTTATCTCTATGATAAATAAAATAAAACCAGAGCAACTTTTTTGGGCTACAGTAACTTTTATTTTTGCTAGGCGCTACAGGCATCAGTGTGAAGTTTTGGATACCCGTGGCCCCTATAGCTCTCCAAAGAATTATATGAATTACTGCCTGCTGTAAAGTGCTGTTCTGTTACATTGTGATTGTTTTTTTTTATCATAGTGACAGGGACACTAAGACTTTAGCAGCCAGACCACTATTTCCATTTCACCAATCCCCCACTACTTTCCCCCTTGAATTTCAGCAATCCCAGGCTCAGAGGTTAGTTAGGTAAGCTCCAAGACTGGATGTGGGGGGTCATGCTTTCACACAATGTAGAACTGATCAAGTGGCTTCATAGCCACAAAAACATTTCTACTTAAGAGGAAACATGACTGCTTAACTTTTAAAACAAACTCATAGTTGCAATAGTTTGTTTTAACCCTTTGTCAGGACATGTAGTCTATGTCCTTGGCAGTCAAACGGTTACAATTCAATCACCTCTGCACTTCTAGTTAACCACTTGCCTACCAGGCACTTATACCCCCTTCCTTACCAGGCCAATTTTCAGCTTCCAGCGCTGCCGCATTTTGATTGACAATTCCGGGGTCATGCAACATTGTACCCATATGAAATTTTGATCATTTTTTTCTCACAAATAGAGCTTTCTTTTGGTGGTATTTAATTGCCACTGGGCGCTTTACTTTTTGCGCTATAAATAAAAAAAGTGCAAAAAATTTGAAAAAAAAAAAAAAAAAAATTTCTTTGTTTCTATTATAAAATTTTTCAAACAGGTATTTTTTCTCCTTCACTGATGTGCGTTGATGAGGCAGCACTGATGGGCACTGATAGGCGGCACTGATAGGCAGCACTAAAGGGCACTGATAGGCAGTACTAATGAGGTGGCACGGATAGGCGGCACTGATAGACAGCACTAATGAGGTGTCACGGATAGGTGGCACTAATATGCAGCACTGATAGGTGACACTGATGATGGGTACTGATAGACGGCACTGACTGGCATCACTGCTGGGCACTGACTGGCGGCACTGACTGGCACAACCCCTGGGCACTGACTGGCAGCACTGCTGGGCTGCACTGGTGGGGGGCACAGGTGGGTGGGCACAGGTGGGTGGCACTTCTGGGCACAGGTAGATGGCACTTCTGGGCACAGGTGTGTGACACTGCAGAGTGGCACAGGGGGGTGCACTGCTGGGCACAGGTGGGTGATCTGCTGGGCACAGGTGGGTGGAGCTAGTGGGCGCACTGCTGGGCACAGGTGGGCGGAACTTGCGGGTGGCACTGCTGGGCACCGATCATCAGGGCACTGATCATCAGTGTCCTGATGATCGGTGCCGATCCCCGCTGTGACGATCTGACAGCGTGAGGAAAGTGCAGCCGAGAACCGGCACTTGCATTTCCCTGTGATCAGCGTGTCATTGGACACCGCTGATCACGTGGTAAAAGGCCGCTGGGATCGGCCTTTTACCACATCACGTGATCAGCTGTGTCCGTAGGAGATCGCCGGGTGCGCGCCGAGCGCGTTCTGGGGGGACGTCATATGACGTCCACCCAGAACTGGCCGGCCGCAGTGAAGCCATCATTCGGCTATCTGCGGTCGGCAACTAGTTAAGCAATGCAGGAACCATTGTCCTTTATCAAGAACTTACTTGAAGGTACTTCAGAGAAGCCAGGTCAAAGCATTTACAGAGACAGGAAGAAATTTTTCTACAGTTGCCATTAGGAAGTGCTTGGTGTGCTACAGGAAGGAGGGTCATATTCCCTCTTTGACACCTTTGTACACAAGGCCTATCAGAAGCTGGCACAGAACCCCAGTACAGTTTTTGACTCACAAACCAGCTAAGACCAAGAAATATGTTTTTGTTTCATTGTACAATCAGAAGGCTATGGAAACAGAGATGACTTGGGCTACATTCACAACGGTGAGCAGTTCCTGCTGCGGCTCTCAGTGCTGGGTGTGGCTACCGCACCCGGTCACTACAATGAGAGGTTGCTGGTGGCTGCAGCTATTCGTGGCCCTCTGCACAGGCAGCGATTACCTGCAGTGATTGCTGCTGGACACACAGGGGTTTATTTACTAAAGCTGGAGAGTGCAAAATCAGACTCCCTTCTGCATAGAAACCAATCAGCTTCCAGGTTTCATTGCCAAAGCTTCATTGAACAAGCTGAGGTTAGAAGCTGATTGGTTTCTATGCAGAAGGGAGTCTGATTTTGGACTCTCCAGCTTTAGTAAATAAACCCCAAAGTGTATCCAGCAGTGATCACCTCAAGTGACCGCTGGCTGTGCAGAGAGCAGTGAATAGCTGTGGCTGCAAGGGACCTGTTATTATAGTGAACGGGGCCGCATCAGCACCAGTGCTAAAAGCCGCAGCAGAAATCTGTGATTGCTGCCACTACTATTCAGCCCTAATCACTGGAAGCATAACTTCAGCAGCCGTTTACTTTATTCCTATATTCAGCACTGAATCAGCAAATACAGAAATCAACTGTTGATCCTGACAGAAGTGTATCGTCTATGCCACTTCCTGTGAGCTTACAATAAAGCAGAATAGAATGTTATCTTTTTTGTGTGGACTACTAGTCCCATTAACCCCCCATCTATTGGAGATGATGGTTTGATGTTCAGTAACTGTACCAACCATGGCTGCCACAACAGACGTGTAGAAGTGTGTTATTTGCAAAATGACCTGGTCCAAAAATGAAAAGGGGAAAAACCTGAAGAAAACTAATGCAGTCACCACATCTAAGAACTGGTAAGCTGCAATATATTACAGTTTTTAGATGCACTTTAATACAGCCAGGTTTTAACCAAATAGTGTCTACTTTCTAACTGCTCTGAAAAAAAACAACAGCCCTATATCAGGAGCCCTAACCAATATAACAAGAGCTATGCATGTCCCACAAAAACCTTTCCTTATTTCACTTCATGTACATCAGTGATATACAGTCAGGTCCATAAATATTGGGACATCGACACAATTCTAACATTTTTAGCTCTATACACCACCACAATGGATTTGCAATGAAACTAACAAGATGTGCTTTAACTGCAGACTGTCAGCTTTAATTTGAGGGTATTTACATCCAAATCAGATGAACAGTGTAGGAATTACAACAGTTTGCATATGTGCCTCCCACTTGTTAAGGGACCAAAAGTAATGGGACAGAATAATAATCAGAAATCAAACTTTCACTTTTTAATACTTGGTTGCAAATCCTTTGCAGTCAATGACAGCCTGAAGTGTGGAACGCATAGACATCACCAGACGCTGGGTTTCATCCCTGGTGATGCTCTGCCAGGCCTTTACTGCAACTGTCTTCAGTTCCTGCTTGTTCTTGGGGCATTTTCCCTTCAGTTTTGTCTTCAGCAAGTGAAATGCATGCTCAGTTGGATTCATGTCAGGTGATTGACTTGGCCATTGCATAACATTCCACTTATTTCCCTTAAAAAACTCTTTGGTTGCTTTTGCAGTCTGCTTTGGGTCATTGTCCATCTGCACTGTGAAGCGGCGTCCAATGAGTTCTGAAGCATTTGGCTGAATATGAGCAGATAATATTGCCCGAAACACTTCAGAATTCATCCTGCTGCTTTTGTCAGCAGTCACATCATCAATAAATACAAGAGAACCAGTTCCATTGGCAGCCATACATGCCCACGCCATGACACCACCATGCTTCACTGATGAGGTGGTATGCTTAGGATCATGAGCAGTTCCTTTCCTTCTCCATACTCTTCTCTTCCCATCACTCTGGTACAAGTTGATCTTGGTCTCATCTGTCCATAGGATGTTGTTCCAGAACTGTAAAGGCTTTTTTAGATATTGTTTGGCAAACTCTAATCTGGCTTTCCTGTTTTTGAGGTTCACCAATGGTTTACATCTTGTGGTGAACCCTCTGTATTCACTCTGGTGAAGTCTTCTCTTGATTGTTGACTTTGACACACATACACCTACCTCCTGGAGAGTGTTCTTGATCTGGCCAACTGTTGTGAAGGGTGTTTTCTTCACCAGGGAAAGAATTCTTCGGTCATCCACCACAGTTGTTTTCCGTGGTCTTCCGGGTCTTTTGGTGTTGCTGAGCTCACTGGTGCGTTCCTTATTTTTAAGAATGTTCCAAACAGTTGTTTTGGCCACGCCTAATGTTTTTGCTATCTCTCTGATGGGTTTGTTTTGTTTCTTCAGCCTAATGATGGCTTGCTTCACTGATAGTGACAGCTCTTTGGATCTCGTCTTGAGAGTTGACAGCAACAGATTCCAAATGCAAATAGACCACTTGAAATGAACTCTGTACCTTTTATCTGCTCATTGTAATTGAGATAATGAGGGAATAACACACACCAGGCCATGGAACAGCTGAGAAGCCAATTGTCCCATTACTTTTGGTCCCTTAACAAGTGGGAGGCACATATGCAAACTGTTGTAATTCCTACACCGTTCACCTGATTTGGATTAAATACCCTCAAATTAAAGCTGACAGTCTGCAGTTAAAGGACATCTTGTTTGTTTCATTTCAAATCCACTGTGGTGGTGTATAGAGCCAAAAATGTTAGAATTGTGTCGATGTCCCAATATTTATGGACCTGACTGTATATTTAGGAAAATCTTCTGCATACTATAAAATAGAAGAATTTGATCCATATTGCCGACTTGGGCAATGTTAATATATCAACAAGATTCAGTAATAGTATTATAATTTCTCAGATGTTTAATGTAAAACTATTTAAAAAATATATATTTCATATGTATACATAGCGTAGACAAAACAAAAGTATAAAACAAATGCTGTGAAACCAAAA